TTTCTTGATAAATAGAGCGGGGAAAGAAAACATTTGAAGAAATAATAGCTAAGAACTTTCTTAAACTATAAAGTCCTCAGATTGATGAAACAGTAAATCTGAATAAATGTAAGTGAAAAATATATTCACACTTTTGCAAAAGCAGCCTAAGGCAAAAAATGAATTACTGCAAGAAATTATAAACAGATGGAATACATGGCAACCAGAAAGCATGATTGTCAGCAGACAATGGAGCTGGTGTACACAATCCAGAGTACACCAGCTAAACTATTCTTACAAAGCAAACCAAATAATGGCACTTCAACCAAAGGCCGAAAGAGTTTAGCACTAACATATTTTTACTGAAAACATCTTCTAAAAGAACTACTTCTTAAAAAAATAAAGAAATCAGTCAAGAAGAAAAGAGAAATTTAGGAAGCTATGTCAAGCTAAGAAATGGGTAAATATATGGGTAAAAGTAAACAAATACTAAGAAAAGTACAAAAGTAATAATAAATAATTTTGGTAGGATGAAAATAAGGTAGAACTAAGTCAATAGAGAATAATATTCTAAAGGTGAAAGAAATGATTGAAGTAAAAGACTCCTATGGTAGGTATATTTTTCAGGAGTGGATGGCAATATTAATGACATTTCAAACTTGTTAGTTAAGAAAACACGTTAGGAATCAACCTAAATGCCCATCAACAGTAGACTGGATAAAGAAAATATGGTACATATACACCATGAAATATTACACAGCCATAAGAAAGAATGAGATTGTGTCCTTTGTAGCAACGTGGATGGAGCTGGAAGCCATTATCCTTGGCAAATTAATGCAGAAATAGAAAACCAAATACTGCATGTTCTCACCTATAAGTGGGAACTAAATGCTGAGAACATAAGGACACAAAGGAGGGAATAAGAGACACTAGGGCCCTACTTGAGGTGGAGGGTGAGAAAAGGGTGAGGATGGATAAATTGCCTATGAGGTACTATGCTTATTATTTGGATGATAAAATAATCTCTACACCAAACCCCTGTGACATACAATTTACCCATGTAACAAACCTGCACATGTACCCCTGAACCTAAAATAAAAATTAATAGAAAGAACACATGTTAAAAGTTTAAAGAAATAAAATATGCAAAAATATATACAAGTATATGTACACATATATAGATATATATGTACCAAGTTGTATATATATGTGTATATATGCTTGAGATATGCTATGTATTGGAAATTTTGCCCAGTTTCTAATTAGATTTTCAATTTATTATTGAGTTTTGAGAGTTTTTTTTAAATGTATTTCCAATACAAATCCTTTGTAAATGTGTAGTTTATGAATATTTTCTCCCAATCAGCAGCTTGTCTCTTTAGAACCTTAACAGAGTCTTTCACAGAGCAAACATTTACCACTCTCACTAAGTCCAATTAATTAATTTTTAGGGGGAATCATGTTTTTGGTGACATGTGTAAGAAATCTTGATCAAGTCCACGAGTCCAAAGATTTTCTCATATGTTTTATTCTAAAAGTTTTATAGTTTGTACATTTTATATTTAAATCTATAATCCATTTTGGGTTACTTTTTGTATAAGGTGCAAGACTTAAATTGAGGTTCGTTTTTGTATTTGCACAGATAGGTAATTGTTCCAGCACCATTTGTTGAAAAGACTATGTTTCCTCTATTGGATTGTTTTTGCAATATTTTGACTACATTTGTGTAGGTCTGTATCTGGGGTCTCTATTCTGTTTCACTGATCATATTTCTATAATCTGCCAATATTGGACAGTCATTACTACTGTAACTATATAATAAATCTTAAGACCAGTTAAGTTAGTATAATTTCTCCACGTGTATTCTTTTTCAAGTTTTTTTAAAGCTATTCCAGCTCTTTGCCTGTCCATACTAATTTTAAAATAGCCCTGTCCATGTCTAAACAAAATCTTCCCGAGATTTTAAAAATATTTGTGCTAAACTTTTATATCAATTTGGGAAGAATTTACATCTTTATGATGTTGACTCTTCTAATCTATAAATATGTCCCTAAATTTATTAAGTATTCTTTGATTTTTTTATCAGTATTTTATAGTTTTACACAAGTCATACATGTCTTATTAGATTCCTACCAAAATATTTTTCTTTTTTAGCAATTAAAAAGGGTATTGTGCTTTTAATTTTAGTTTTTATGTGTTCATTACTAGTTCACAAAAATTAAATTGATTTTGTATGTTGATATTGTATCCTGTGACTTTGCTGAACTCACTTGTTAATTCTAGGAGGTTTTCTTGTCAATTTATTGGGATTTTCTATGGAGGCCGTCATATCATCTGCAAATAAGGATAGTTTTATTTATTGTTTTTATACCAATGCCTCATACTTCTTTTTCTTGTCGTATTGTGCTGGCTAGAACATCCAATACTATATTGAATAAGACTGGTGACAGCAGACGTCTTTGTCTTGCTCCTGATCTTAGAGGGATGTATTCACTCTTTCACTATTACACATAATGTTAGCTCTAGATTTTTCACAGAAATTAAGGAAGTTCCTCCTCTACTAGTTTTCTGAGAGTTTTCATCAGGAATTTATCAGGGTTTATTAGGGTTTTGAGTTTTGTCAAATGCTTTTCTCTGTATTTTGATGTGATCATGTGATTTTTCTTCCTTAGCCTATTAATATGGTGTATTCCATTGATTAATTTTCAATTATTAAGCCAGGCTTGCATCCATAGAATAAACCCCACTTGTTAATGCAGTACAATTCTTTTTACATATTGCTGAATTCTCTTAGTTACTATTTTGTTAAGAATTTTGATGTTGATATTCATAAGGGATATTGGTCTGTAGCATTCTTCTTATGTACATTTAGTATTTTGTTCTGGTTTTAGGGAAAACTGGCCTCATAACATAAGTTGGTAAGTGTTTCTTCCTCTTCTATTTTTCTGAAAAAAGTAGGGAGAATTTACTGTATCCATAATGCTTTACGTTTTTCAAAGAAAATTAAAGCAAGAATAGTAAATGTACTAAGTATAATTGTCTACCTGGTGGAGGTTTACCCAATCATTCTTTATATTTTCCAGTATGCTTAAAATATTTTATTATTTAAAAATAAAAACATTTTAAGAACTACAATGAATAAATGAAACTCATTTTTAAGTTTAGTGCTGAGTTTGGAAGGTATAAATAATAGCAAAGCACAAAGTTGTTTGGACAAAACACTCATCAATCTGTACTTAAATTTTTTTAATTGTGACTTATTTCTTTGAAATTTTCAGAATGTTTCCAGCTCTGAAAACCGTAGACCTATGGAGAACTCAATCTTTTACTTTTATAGAAGTTAAAGCTGGAGACTTTGCTAAATTAAATACATCCACAAGTTATTTGATATTCTTCATAAGGGGTGAAATCTTTTTCTATTCCACTCAAATCTGAGCTGGTCCTATACATATTTTAGATATCACGAAATGATGCTGTATAATTTCTGAGGCTAAGCCTGACATGATGAGTGGTTTCTGCTTACTGGAACACTCATGCTTGATTTCAAGCTGCCATTTGGTGAGGAAGCCCAAGCAACAACCTGTACCTACCCCTGTGAAGGAGAACTGAGGTCTCTGGGCAACAATCCCAGCTTAGTTCCTAGACAACAACTTGCATAAACTGCCAGCCATGTAGTCCATTTTTAACATTCCAGCTGTTTCAGCACTCCATCTGATTTCAAGTTATATGTAACTCTCACTACAACTCACAAAACCATAAGAAATAACAAATTATTGTTTTAAGGCACTAGGGCTTGAGGCAGTTTGTTAAACAGACACACAAAACCAAAATAGAGAACAAAATAAGTTAGTGGTTTACCTTTAATGATACTCTCTAGTTAGTGGAAACTGAGACTAGATCACTGATCTCTAGATGATTAGTCCAGTGTATTTGTCTTCCATATGATGCTCTCTTTTTTGAATTAGTATATTCAGATATTAGTGAAAAGCCTAAACCTAAACAATATATTGCCATTTCACTCAGAGAGTGCAATATGGAAGTGCATATTTCTGTAAATATAAAGATGTGAGGAACTATGCAGTGCAAACACAACTTGAAAGACCAGCTATCCACAATCAGTTGTTTTCATTTGTACCTCAGTGAGTCAGCTACTATTTTTCCCTAAGAGAATGATTACTTGAAAAGTTAACACACTTCTTATACCAGAATAATCGTATTTTATTCACTTCTTCTCCAAATGTCTTTTAATAGAAATTTTTTTCTTCTCCAATAACAGCAACTTCGAAGCTACATGAAAGAGACATTGTGAGTAACACTGGTATTACCTGTCTACCATTATCAATCCTAGCTTTAGAGCATACTCATGGGTTAGATAATGAGCCAAGTCCTTACTCTCAGAGATTTTCTTGTGGTTACAAAGAAATCCATTATAAAGTATAAACATTAGGCTTGAGTCCAGATCTTATTCCTAGAAAATTTGACACATGAGAACTCTTTTCTTCTTGTTCAAGTTGATTAATCTTGTAAGAGGTTACATAAAAGAGAGTTATTTGTCAACATCATATATATATGTTGTTCTATTTCATGTGTTGTGAAAAACAGCACTTGGATCTGGTCCTCACATATTTATTTTCATTTGTTGCTCATAAAGACAAAAGGTGGTTGGAAGGCCGAGGCGGGTGAATCACCTAAAGTCAGGAGTTCCAGACCAGCCTGGCTAACATGGCAAAACCCCATATCTACTAAAAATACAAAAATATTAGTTGTTCCTGGTGATGTGCACCTGTAGTCTCAGCTACTAGGGAGACTGAGGCAGGAGAATCACTTGAACCTGAGAGGTGGTGGTTGCAGTGAGCTGAGATCACATCATTACACTCCAGTCTGGGTGACAGAGTGAGACTCCATCTCAAAAAAAAAAAAAAAATACAAGGTCGGTTAATTTGACCATTTATTCTAACCAGAAAGAACAAGTAAAAACTATATTTGTCCTTTTCATTCCTTCTAGAATTTTTGCTACTTACTGGCTGTCCAGGCTCACCAACTCCAATGGGTCCTGGAGCTCCTGGTCTTCCTTCTTGGCCTCTTTCTCCCTAAGAGAAATAAATAATAGAATGAAAGCTAGAGATTTTAAATAAAGAATAAACATAGTATAAAATTCTCTGGAGATTTCAACAGGGATAATTAGCAAAATGGACACATTTTTCATATTCATAAAGGTAAAAAATTCTAGAGGAAGAGAAATAGCTCAAATTTAAGTGAATTTAAATGAACAAATAATCCAAAATTGTTCATTATCTTTTCTTGTCCAAATATAATTTAGCAGTTTCAGCTTTCACAAAATACTGTGTAAGAATTGGCAGGGCAGACTGTGTGGCAATGCATGTTAGTTCCTGAGATGGCCAAGCCAACAATGTGTGTGCTGTGCCCTGCCCTCTTGCCAGCATCCTGGGATGTCGCATCTACCTTGTCCCCACTCTATCCTATTTCACCTTTCCTTTAAGCTCTTTTCAGACTTCAGACTGCATCTCCTCTTTCCTGGAGGCTTTCTTGGCTCACTGCAACCACCACCTCTTGGGTTCAAGCAATTCTCCTGCCTCAGCTTCCTGAGTAGCTGAGACTACAGCTGCACATCACCTGGACCAGCTAATTTTTTAGTAGTTTTAGTGGATACGGGTTTTTCCAAGTTTTCCAGGCTGGTCTCAAACTCCTGAGCTCAGGTGATTCACCCTAGTTGGCCTCCCAATCGTCTCGTATCTTTATGAGCAACAAATGCTTCTCCATAACTCTGCCAACATAAACTTTACCTTCCCTGGAGTCTAAATGTACTTATGGCAGAAATGCTATACGTGGGAATATTCAATCCCATTCAAAGTACAATGTTTTGTACTGCTTGCTATTTTAATCCTGCATCAAAGTCTTACTGTCACAACCACATAGAAAAGCCATTCAAAATAGGCACTTCTGCTTTATTATATCCTGTATAATGTAGAGCCTCACAGGATAGATGTTCCTTCCCTTTCTAGTTCTCTACAAATCTCTCTGTCAACATTGACCTATTCAGTGCCATAGCCCTTCTGGTTTCTGCCCTTTATGCTTGTTCAGTGTGAGCCATGAGTGTTGATGTGTTAAGTTGTTTCACTTCCCGATAACATATTTGCATGTGAATGTTTAAAGGCCATGAAAACTCAACAGAACTACAATGTACCTTGGCAAGAGGGTGGGTATCTGGAAACAAGTAAGTTTTTCATTCCAACAAAATCAAAAAATACATTAATTATTCTTGTGGTAACTGCCCCTGACAAGCATATTGCTGTGTCCAAGCATATAAAATGAAGTAACTTCAGGAAGCCTCCTTATGTCTATTGGGTTTAGGCAGAATGGAGTTCAAATCACAGCTCCCCCAGGCCCTACAATAAATTCAATAGTCATCAATGGGCAAAAAGACAAGTTATCCTTACCTTAATACCTTGCTGTCCAATTCCAGGAATTCCTGGAGAACCATAAGGACCAGGAGGACCTGGCTCACCCTGGAGGAAGAAATAGCGACAGCAGTTATATGTTAGGTCAACTCAACAGTATTGTTTAAGCAGCTCTTCAATGTATGGTTTTGAAATAGGGGCCTTGAGAGCAACAACAAACCTAGTACATTGTGCCTGCTCTCAAGTGTTTACAATTCATTTGGAAAGAAAACACAGACCTAAGGTCAAATTATTCACTAGGCACAGTAGTCACAGTATCTGGATCCACAATAATTTTAGGAGCCTACAAATACGTTCCAATTGTAATTTTTTATTAGAAATAAAAATACTTACTATATAACAATGAATCCAGTTTGCATTCATAAATATAATTTTAAAATATTTTTATGGAGGAAGGGGCCCACAAAAGCAGATGTTTTCAGGATCCTTAAAAGGCATAACACAGCCATCATTCATTCATTCACAAATATTTAAGCACTCTGGAAGACATTTTGTTTTCTCCCCTGTGGCTGTCCTCTCCTAGCTTTCCTTCCCTGCTGATAAAACCCTGATTGGGTCAGTCAGTGGGCAGCTGTTCTTTGCTCTCAGAGGTGTAGGATGAATGATCATTGGCCTAATGCAAGATGGGAATCTCCTTTCCCTTCATCACTGATTCATCTAAGTTGGTAAAATGGCTCAATTCTGACAAATGAGATGTGAAGGACCTTACTGGATGCAAAGGAGAAAACTGCCTCTGCCTCTTCTTTCCTACACAGAGATGTGATAACTGTCTAGTAACTATGAGGCAGCAATCTCTAGGACAAAAGCCAAAAGTTGAGGAGGGCTAGCTCCTGGATACCCTCATTGAGCAACTGATCCAGTCCTGGACTACCTGCCTTCAAATATTCTGTTTACTTAACAGCAAGAGTTCTTATGATTTAAGCCACTATTAGTTAAGATTTCTGTTACTCAAAGCCAGAACATTTTGAAATAATACAGCCTATGATGCGGCAGACCCATAAGAGAATTCAGACATGTTAGAACTAGATGCAACAATTGCACTTAAACCCCTACATTTCACAGGTGTAGAACCTGAGTCCCAGAGAGATTACCTGGCCAGCCCAAACTTACACCTGAATACCCCTCACACAGTTACAGCTCATTAGGTCTCTCAGGCTTTAGGCCCTGTGGCATGATGATAGGGGAAGGGGAGTGGCTATTGACTCTAGTTGCCCGCTTCATAATATTTCTGTTCATCTAAATAATATGTCTTCATTGTAGAAAAACTGTCATATATTAAAAAGTGTGCATGCAAAGAAAATTTTGAATTCCCTATCTATAACTATTAATACTATAAAATTGTGGGATATTTCCTTTCAGTTTTTTACAATCGCACATGTACCTTTCATTTATGCTAAGGAAGATTTCTGAACACTCTTGTGTTTCAGCTAATGAAAATTTGCTACTTAAAATCATTCAACCCAAAGATTTGTCTCTTTATGCTTTCACTAAACAACAGCAAAATGAAACAGGAAAGTGAAACAAGCCTTTTCTGAGATGAAGGAAGATGAAAGAATTTTCAGAAATAGTAAAGTCTCAATTTGCCCCAGAAGCTTGTATTTTTGGAAGGAACACCTAGTAACCAGAGCAATGTTCTGTGGATAAAAACACTGCATTACTATAAGAAGGCTGCAGCCAGACATGGTGGTTCACGCCTGTAATCCCAGCACTTTGGGAGGCCGAGGCAGGTGGATCACTTGAGGTCAGGAGTTCAAGACCAGCCTGGCCAACATGGTGAAACATTTTCTCTACTAAAAATACAAAAAAAAAAAAAAAATTAGCTAGGCCTGGTGGCATGTGCCTGTAGTCTCAGCTACTCAGGAGGCTGAGGCAGAGGAATTGCTTGAACACAGGAGGCAGAGGTTGCAATGAGCCAAGATCTCCTCACTACACTTGAGCCTTGGCAACAGAGCAAGACTTCATTTTAAAAAGTCTGTTGACTTTGACCAACTACAAAAGGGGAAGAGAAGGGCCAAAAGGGTTGGCATCAAACCAGCTCCCCAAAAGCTATGCCCAGGTTCAGGGTGAATTAAAACAAAGGAATTCTGCCTCAAAACGAGTCATTCACATTTATGATCCCTTGGCATTTAAATGGATTGAATTCAAAAGTACTTACTGTCTAACTTGTTGAGTACAAGTCAGTCTGGCAAATATTTTTGCCCTTAAACTCCTAAGGTTGTACTTGTTTTTCTATGTTGATTAAGTTTTCTGAGCGGCCAGGTGACTGACATTCTCATTTTACATGTTCTTAGCAGTGAAATTTATCTCTCTTCATACTATCAGACAGAAAAGTTCACACTAAATTTGAACTTGTCTACTTAATATCTCTCTCTCTTTCTCTCTCTGTCTCTGTCTCTCTCTCTCTTTAGTTTCCCTCTGTCACCCAGGATGCAGTGCAATGACGTGATCGCAGCTCCTGCAACCTCCACCTCCCAGGCTCAAACTATTCTCTTGCTTCAGCCTTCTGAGTAGCTGGGATTACAGGTATCTGCCACCATGCCTAGCTAATTTTTGTATTTTTAGCAGAGATGGGGTTTTGCCATGTTGGCCAGGCTGGTCTCAAACTCCTGGCCTAAAGTGATCCACTAGCCTTGGCCTCCCTAATTGCTGATGTTGCAGGCCTGAGCCACCACACCCAACCTGTTTACTTAATCTCAATGTTTAATGAAGTGCTAGAGAATATTTAGCTTTCTAGAGATTCCAAATTTTCACTTCTTTTTCTTACAACTTGTTGTGCTCCCCATTTAAGTTGGAATCTACGTGTCAGTTATACAGGTCGCATATGGGTGACTGTCTCCGTCACTCAGCAAATGACACCAGATACTTGCTATGTGGAGGGCCATGAAGTAAAATTATAAGAAGCTGAAGACATAGTTCCTAAACTTAAGAGACCAGCTTTAGAGATAAAGCATACCATTTAAAAATGGGGTGTGGGATAAAAAACTATGTATTCAGTACAACATACACTACTTGGGTAATGCATTCACTAAAATCTCAGAATTCACCATAATATAATTCATTCATATAACCAAACACCACTTGTATTCCAGAAACTATTGAAGTAAAAAAATGTAAGTATATATATATCACACACACACACACACACACACTCACACACACACACATACACATACATATATATATATATAGGTATATGTAATACCATTAAAAATACAATAACCACCACCCACTGCTGAATTTGGCTGGCTAAAAAAAAAAAGCAATAATAACAATACAAGGTCCTAACTTTACTTGATCTATTCACTTTTTTTTTTTTTGAGACGGAGTTTCGCTCTTGTTACCCAGACTGGAGCGCAATGGCGCAATCTTGGCTCACCGCAGCCTCCGCCTCCTGGGTTCAGGCAATTCTCCTGCCTCAGCCTCCTGAGTAGCTGGGATTACAGGCACGCGCCAAGGTGCCCAGCTAATTTTTTTTGTATTTTTAGTAGAGATGGGGTTTCACCATGTTGACCAAGATGATCTTGATCTCTTGACCTCGTGATCCACCTGCCTCGGCCTCCCAAAGCGCCGGGATTATAGGCGTAAGCCACCGCACCTGGCCCCAATCTATTCACTTTTTATCCCTTCTATATGTAGTATTGGTTCTGTAATGGGTCAGAAGACATATAAATTATATATTTGGCATAGAATTTGAGTTTTTTGAGTAGTAGAAGTTCTGCCCTACTTTGTACTTATGTAATGTTTGATCAGAAACAAACCAAGAGCTCACGTTGGTGACAAGAAATGGGCTTGGTCGTTACCTTGAAATGTATGGACCAGGAGAGTCAAGAGTAGAAGCAACTCTCTTCCCTTGAGCCCATGAACTCCCTTTAGCCTTGGTCAAGTACCAAGAGCAGCTGCGAAATATCTTAATATTGCTTTTCAAGGGGGTTGCAGGAGTGTGAAGATTAGAGAGAGTTTTTCTCCTTTACCTGAGCACAGCCCCTTAGCAATGTGCTTCACAGTTCACTTGCTTAAATTTATTTCTCAGAAGCCTGGTATCTCAAGGTAGGATCCACAAAACAGTACTGGCCTACAGCTCATGTTTATTTCCTTCACATTGCCCCTTTTTCTTTCTTACAGAGATTCCTGAGGTAGAAAAAGTGGTCCTGACTGTAAAATATGCTGTCTGGGCAAAGACAAACAGGGAGGGAAGAGTCAGCACTCTAGTCAGAATGATTTTCCAGGAATTTACCAAGACAGCATAGTCCTGATAAGACTGCAGGCACGATTCCATTCCTGTCAATATTCCTTCCCTAGCCCTTTGTCACACACACACACACACACAAACACACACACACACACACAGAGTGAGAGAGAGAGAGAGAGAGAGAGAGAGAGAGAGAGACAGAGAGAGAGAGATTGCATGCCCAAAAGATTGCATGCCCACATTACTACTAATTATTTCTCTACTTAACCTTCATTTGCCATCAGAGCCATTTACCAACAGGCAAGTATAACAAAGAGGTATGGGTTAAAATGAGTAGCCCCAGAAAGAACCTGTTTCTCATTACCTCCATGTGAGTGTGAATATGTGTGGATGTGAGCATAAGCATGTGTGGAGGCAGCAAAAAGATTAGGTAAACCACCTTGGTCCTTCTCAGAAATCAAGAACACCCATGCTATGGGCTTTATGAGGACAGGAAGCCAATGTTGAATAAAACCTACTATTTATCAGCACTGCCCAGACATGTTATATACATTATCTCATTCAATCTTCTATCAATCATAAAAAGTAGGTTTTTGGGTTTGGGGTTTTTTTTCAAATGCCTGGCTTCAAGTGATTCTGCTGTCTTGCCCTCCCAAAATGCTGGGAGTACAGGCGTAAGCCACCACATGCAGCCCTTCATGCATGGAGTCACAGGGAAAAAAACCATGACTTTGAATCATTTGGTCTTGTAGAACCTTGGTTCTATTATTTACTAACAATTTGAGCTTTTGCAAAATCTCTATGTGCAAAATGGGGATAATTATATCTGCCTTGCAGCATTGTTGAGAGGATTCAAAAT